AGGTGAGCGGAGACGGCGCTGAGCACCGGGCCCGGGGCGCAGCGTGTGAGGGGCCGGGGCTGTCGCTGACCTGGCCCCTCAGATATTGTCTCGCAGATGAGAGAAATGCCGCAGATGAGGGAATTTCTCTCCCCTGTTTGTGCGAACGAAGATGGTCTTTTGTCCCGATCGTGTGCTTAGGGTTTATTTTTGCCTTTGGTTGTTGCGTTAGGAAGCGCTGAAGTTTCAGCAGTTGGAATACAAATTACAGAGGCCAAAGGCGTGTGGCGCTCAGGAGCTCCTGTCACGAGTGAGCTGCCCACGCACAAACGCTGCTCGTGGTGCAGACCTAATGAGGGGCTTGTGAGGAGAGACTGTAGGGTTTGGAAGTGCAGAAGTACTGAAAGGAGTAGGCAGCTATGGCACCAGCCCGGACAAGTGGAAATGTTTGTATCGACTTTCTTAATGTTTAGTATTCCTTAAGAAAGAAGCTCAACTTTTTTTGTTTTGTTTTTGTTTTGCTTTGGGGTGTTTTCTTACACTGTGTGATGGTAATACGCTGCAATAAATCCTGCTAATATAAAGAAATTTACATAGGGTAGAACTTGACACCGTTTTTAGATAAGTTTTGGAAGAAATGTTGATGTGGATTAAATTCTGGTAGTAATGTTTTGGAAACAATCAGAATTCCAGAAACAACTCGACTTACAATTCAGAAAGACTGATAGTCATTTATGGGGCACACTTGGGATGTTCTTGAGGCCTATGATTCTTACTTGATGCCTTCAAAAAATTGGTGCCTTAAAAGAAAATATTATATATTTTGATTTATTTTTAATTTTGTTGCTAAGAAAAGATGTTCCTGAGCTGCATCTATGGAGCTTATCTCTAAGAAAAAGCCTAGGAGATTTTTTTAAAAACTAATTTGTTTACAGTTAAAAATTGTTAGAAGTGGAATTGCTAAGGATGAGACAAGATAGCAAGACTTAACATTTTTTCTACTGATAATTAATTCTTTCTTATCTAACTCAGAAAATTTTGGAGTCCATTTGAAAATTGATTATGTAGCCAGTATAGTATTTCTAGCAGCAAGAATGTTTGTTGTGACAGTAATTAAAAACATTTTCAAAACTGAGAACTTAATAAGTTATTCTGAAGCAACTGCCCAGCGTAAACAACAGCAGGAAAAGGCTTTTTAGTTTTTAGAGTAAGTAATACCGCTTCCTGCTTCCCAGAGCTCTGGATTTGCTGTGGAGTATGGAAAAGCAGCAGTCATATACTAGAAAAATCTTATTGTTTAGTTTTTACTTTATTAAAATAGTTAGGTTTGATGCACATGAATATGCCTGGTAAGCCCTAGATATTTTGGAAACATCATGCAATAGAGTGCTAGATTTGGAGAATTCAAATTGTAGTTTCATATGTTAAAAACACCAAGAAACAGATCTATTCCTGATATTGTGGTTTTTTCTCTGTTATTATGTCTTGCCTCACTAGTTTGCAGGCAGAAGCTCATTTTGGTGCTAACCAGGGTGGGTTGCTCCATGGAATAATAAACCCTTATTTGCATATCTTTTCAGATTTTTGCAATGGAACTGTGACCTTTCTGCCCTTGGAGGAAAACAGTGAAGGAAAATACCTGGTTAAAAAGTGCAATATTTATCAAATTCAACTTAAACACATAAAAGATGAGGAGTGGTAAGTATGGGAGTGAGAGAGGAAGGAAACAGTTATTTAAAGAGTCACACAATGGTTTAGTATTCGTACGTTGGCAATTTAGATTTTATAATTTTCTGCTTAATTAATAAATTACAGTAGTGGTGTGGTATTAGTGCATAGTGTTCTCTAAAAATAAAAATCTACCATACTAAGAACAATATAAAACAAACCTGTTTCACCTTTGAATGTAAACATTGACTGTACCCATGTGTGGTCTAGAAAAAATATGCCTCTTCTGATCACGAGGAGTAGCAGTGTCTGTTGAAAAGGTTCTGTGGGTGTTAGTAAGGGTGAGGGTCAAACCAGAGTTGCTGTAAACACACTGAGCTTCAGTCACTGATATGTAGACCAGTTTGGTCCTGGGCATCTGGGGATGTAGGTGTAATAAAATATGAATAAAGTTAGAGATAATGAAATGTGAGTTGTGACAATGGATATATTTTTCTCCTAAATTGTCCTGTTATTTTTCAGGAATTTCATAAGTTGATTTTCACTGTTTAGTGTTTGGCTGTTGTGTGAAATCAGGTTGCTCATTATATGTGAGTCCTCATTTAATGTGTTAAATGCATCATGGACTCTTATGTACAGTCTTTAAATTGAGAGATAATGAGCTAACAAAATTCAGGGGGTTATTAATTATTCAGTGACTTCATAGGTTTACTTTCCTTTTGTTTGTCTTATTCTAGAGGCTAGAATAATTCTATAGACTTATTCTCCAGTCTAGTTTTATATCTCTGATCTTCTGATTTTCTCCACTTAATCCTTGTTTTCTCTGTCCTTGAGATAGCTGAAGTAATGAAATACTGTATTTATACTGGTTTTTTGTTTGTTTGTTTTTAAGGTCTATATCTGTTGTAGCTCCATTTCCAGAAGATTGGTTTTCAGATGGAATTGTGTACCCAAAACTAGTATGGCTTGGAAATGAACTTTTGTCCAAACTGGCTAAATGGTCTGTGGTGCAAAAGCCCAGTGAGTTTAAAAGTACACTCTCGCTCATTTCAGTAGCAAAATACAGCCATGTTTATCAGGACCTCAAAGAAAAGTACAAAAAGATGGTAAAGGTAAGTTTAGCAGTAAAAGCAGTAATATTATCCTTCCTTTTTATAAAAGAGGCAATTGAATTACAATGTATGTTTTTTGGTTTCATGTTTTGGTGGTTTTTTTGGTATATATGGAGAATAAAGCTGTTTAGTACTTGGAAGAACTTAATTGGAAAAGCAGGATTTAGAGCCAAATTTTCAATAAGTATTTGGAGGAGTTAGGCATATTCCAGGATGTATCACTTACAATAAAAACGAAGCAGGTCTAGTGGAATAAATAGTCATCCACATTTTAGAAGGCATAAATAAAACACCTCCTTCTCAAAAACCTTTTTATACTATCTTAATATGTGTTTGAGTTAGAGGAGCAGCACTGTAATTTTTTTACTTATCCTGAAGAGCAACAGAGCACTGTATGAAACAATGTTTGTATTCTTGCAAACTTGGCTTTTGCTGCAAACAAAAAAATTGGCAAATGCTTTTGTAAAACATCCAGTGAAAATGCTGTAAGGTTTTACTATTAATATTTCAGTACTTACAGGAAGATACATAGGAGAGGAGAGCTATATTTTTGGGTAAGAGCAATGTGGTCTTCAGTTCTGCAGTAGAATTGCTGGTGTTGAGTATTTAGTCTTTGTTTCAATT